TATCCCATTGCTATTAAAAAGCTATTCCATTGGCACAATAATGCAAAGAAGGATGAAAGAAGAAAAGAGAGGACCTAGAAATACAGCCTACTGCATAAATGAACTTAATACATGCTATGTTGGTCATTAAGAATTAGTAGAAAAAGGATTTTGTTCAATAATGATGTCAAAAAAACCTGACTCAATATCTGAGGGAGAAATCAATTTAGAGCTTCTCAAAATAACTTCCAGATTATTAAAGACTTAAATCTTAAAAATCAAATAGTAAAAATATTAGGAGAAATATAAGTGAATATTGATCTGATATTTGGTTTAAAAAGGATCTAGGTGTAAAAACAAAGATCTATAGATTTGACTATAAAAACATTTTAATTTTGTTAATAATCTTTCAGTAAAATTAAAGGAAAATGAAGAAAATTATTCAAAACAAATTGACAAAGGGTTGCCACACTTACTATATTGTTAATTGAATTAAACAAGGTAAATAATAATTATAGTACTGCTAGTCTATGAGCTCTGTGAAGGCAGAGGCATAATTGTATTGTTTACCATTTACATCCATTAGCATAATGTCCAGATACAATTTAAGGAATTAATACGTATGAATAGAGAAATGGTCAAACATGAAAAAGCAGCTAGGGAGGAAAGAGAAGGAGAAAAGGAAATACGAGTGTCAAATAGACATGATAAAAATTATTTTACTACTAATAAAAATACAATTAAAACTATAATGAGAAATTAGAAAGAGTTTTGTGTTGTGTGTATATTTGATAGTAGATGCAATAAAGGGATAGGCAACATCAGAGTGTGGAGTGTTTTGAAGGGCAATTGGCAAAATCATGTTGTTGACCATGTAATTCTAGAATCTAACCTAAAGAAACACAACAAACACTTGATATTTATGAAGGATAAATCTTCTAGACTCCTGGACTCTCCAAATCTGTTTTCAAACTGTTTCTAGGAGCCCTGGAGTTCTGTCAGGGTGTCCCAAACTTTCATGTGACTTTTATCTCATTTATAGACTCGATATAGGAATATTTTCTTAGATTCCACTGAAAACATCAAAATTTGAACACACTGTACTATAGTATATAATTTCTTCAATAAAATGCAATGGAGTGTTACTTCTCAAAAACTACCAGAGAGTGGAGAATATGGTGTTACATTCCCAAACATTAGCCTGACTTGTAAAGTCACTCTACATTTACCTTGCAAATAGACAGAAGCCCAGATGTAAAAATATGAGAATATCCAGGGCCTGTTGAATAATAAATAAAATATTTGTGTTCTACGATGTTCACCAGTGTTTCTTAATATATTAGTCAGTCCTAACAGGAACCACCTCCCCCCCAGATGTTTCAACAGAAGAGATTTTATTGAAGGAACTATTTACGGAAATTTCAGTTAGGTTTAGAGTTAGAGTTGGGTGAAGGGAAATAACACCGCATGGAGATGACAAGAGACATGGAGGTACTCAAGCTCTTCAAACAACAGTAAGAAGCTGTTACCACCACTATGACTGAAGAGATAAAGGGAGGAGATCAAATGAGAGCAGTGGAGAGGACTGCTTTGCAGGAGCCTTAGAGGCCCAAAGCCACGAAAAGAGGTGGGAAGAAATATTTCCAACCTTTCTCCTCTTCCACCCGCTAATCTATTATTGGTGTTACCCATTGGCGAATCCTACCTGAAAGCCAGCTGGCAAGAAAGCCCAGAAAAAAGTCTATGAAAGTTCTGCTTTCAGAGGCACAGCCTAGCAGAGAAGGATGGAAAATGGATCTGACGGAGAGCAAATAGAAAATAGCAAACATAGAGTAGTGGAATATTGGGAACCCAGATGCCCAATAATAGAGAAACGCTTAACTAAATGATGATATTAACCATTCTCCAATTAGGTAAATAATGGTACTCAAAGAACGTTATGTGTGTTCAGAGAGCACAGAAGAGAGCGTGACCAACTACATTGGGGGCTGTAGATTCAGAGAAGATTTTCTCAAATTGAAAACTAAGGTGCATTGTTGTCATCCAAGCACAGTTTCTTGTATTTTTGTTTAATATAAAAACAATACATATTCACTCTAAGAAACACACAACAAAAAAACACCCCCATCCCAAGACCACTATCTACATCTCAGTGTGTTTACAGTTTTGGATCTTTTTCTATGCATATATACACATATGATTATGTTGTATTTGGGAAGATTACACAGTTATTCTTTTGTAAACTGTATTTTTCCACTTGATAAATCACAAATACTTTCTCGTGCAATAAATAGCATTATGAAACTTTTAAAAACACTTAAAACGTCTTTAAAAACTTGTTTCCTCCTCTCTTGTAACTAATTTCTATCCTCTGACATTTAGTTTGCTTTCTTTTTTGGCAATTACCAAATGTACTGCGTGATGAGCTGTCTTATAGTCTATTCTTTGTACACATTACTGCCCTTAGGCCAATTTCAGGCCACAGCTTGTTTTTCTACAGCCTTCAAGTGAATAGCTTTCATATTTTTTAAGGGTAAAAAAAAAAAAAAAGGACACACACAAAGAAGAAAAGCAACATAGACATATGTGGCCTGCAAAGCCTAAAGTATTTACTATCTGGACTTTTATAGAAAACATTTGTCAATCCCTGTATTATGAATTCCAAGAAATGTTATTTTTGAGTCAAAGGGTGTGAACATTTTTGAAGCTTTTACTGCAGTCTGCCAAACTGCCCACCAGAAACATTGAAGCAATTTATGTCCTTCTCAGTACTGAGCTTGGTTATTTGCCATTCATCCTGCCTCAAAGGTCACTGTCCCAAATTGTTAGTTATGAGTATTCTTTTAGTCCCAGTAAACTTGATGGTGCATTATCAAGTTTTCACTTTCCTTAAAAATAGGTGGGGCCATTTAATTTTTCTTACATGACTTAACTAATTTACATTTTTGCCCATTAAAAAGAACAGGATATTTATATATCTTTGTAAGAACTCTTTATTAAATAAGGCTTTACTCTCTTATCTTTCATATATATTATAAACGTTTTGATAATTTTTACTTGTGTTTCAATTTTAGTCTAGGTATTTTTGATGAAAGTTAAAAATTCTTTAGTCACATTTGTCACTTTTGTAATTTTAAACTTTAATCCATGTTTATTTTGAGATTAAAAGCAAGTCACTTGTGAGTTCTGATGTCATATTGCTGGGTTCGAATTTGGCCTTATCACATACTATATATTTGTCTAAATTACTTGGCCTCCTAAAGTCACAGTTTTATTCTTTATTAAATAGAGATAATTGTAATACCACAGGGTTGATGTAAGAATGAACAGCTATAAAACACAAAAAGCATTTAGCATAGAGCCATTAGCTATTATAGTAGCAACGGAACACTCCAGGCAAAAGAAATAACATGTATAACGGTACCGAGATATAAAAACAAGTTTGTGCATTTAGAAAATTAGATGCGATGTCATAAAATGGGGTGTCAAGTGTGAGGGGCAAGGTTGTCAGATGGAAGGGGGAGGTGGGCCTTCAAAGCCATGCCCAGGATCTTGCTCTTAATATTACCAGAGTTTGAGAACCAAGGAAGGCTTTTAAGCAATCAAGAAACCCATTGAGGTATGTGATGTACGATGATCGGTAGTAGCAAAGTGAGAAATGGACTAGATTCACAAAAACAGCAGTGTCCTGCTCCACCCTGCCCTCCCCAAATTCCTGATATCTAGAGGCAAATTCTTTCACCTTGTAACTATTCTGGTATTTGCCTCTTCTAAATATTGTGTAAACTATTTCTTTTTTAACTTTTAAACTATTTCTATTTTGTCAACATAATATAATTATGAGACTAATAAATAAACAATACCAGTGGGGATATACCTAAGGAGTCCTAAAAGTGGATGGACCTAAAATATGAATCTGAGAGAGAAGAGAGAATCAACTTGACTCACTAGTGAGTGAAAGGGGAACAAGATAGCAGAGAGGGAAAGAACAGGAGGCATTGTATGAAGTTAGAGGCCACGGAAGCAGGCTGGGAGAAAAAAGATGCGTTCAGTTTGGGAGATGTAAAGTTTTAAGCACCATTTTCTGGAGTATGAATAAATTGAGTATTGCCCCAGGCTTCTGTCTTGGTAGTTTCTCACTGCTCTGAGGACCAAGTATTGATAATTCAAGAGGCAGTCTTGGGCGGTTTGGGAAAATGTAGGTAAGAAAATCTGCCACCTAGAACTTTAAACCAAAGCTGACCAATTTCATGCCATGGAATGAGTACAGGTATGTAGGTATATACTAACTTCTTCCAGGTGGAAGTTAATCCTGCATGAGCAGCTGCTTCTTCTGTTTGCATCACTTTGGGCCTTGCAGACATTACCATTTCCTGGGTGTGCCGGTGAAGTAAGTGTATGAAGCACTGCTCTTTTAGAAGGCCTAAAGCACTCACAATCAGCCTGCTGGATCGGCTGCCAGGCCCCTTTTGTGCTGCCTTTTAAAAACTTTCTACTCCCCCTCCATCATCACCCATTCCTGTCCCCACCCACCATTCAAAACCATCTTTAAGGTACACTGAGTATCAGCTAAAAGGGTTTGAGAGAGGAGTTCCCTCCCCGTGAAGTGCTTCCTGTCAAGGTGATACTAGGCCCACACTTTATAAGGCAAGCACAGAGGAGACACTGCTGTGGTTTGAAGAACATCCAGCACACTTGACTTTTCTCTTAGAACAATGGGACCCGACTGCCACCGGCAGGCAGTCCATCTTGACAGCTGCCAACCCTTCTGTTAAACCCATAACCCCCAAAATAGAGTACAGAAGAATGGAGGAGGATTTTAAAAGCGAATTTGTGAGCAGCTACAAGAACAAAACCAGTGGATTAGGTGACCCTGGAGCCCTTTTCTTCCTGGCACTCCCTTTTGAATCATCGAACTCCACTTGTGACGTCGCAGACGCCTCGCTCCTGCAGGCGTGGGATACCCTCGCCCGCCCTGGGAGCCTCGAGGCGTCACCGCACGGTTCCGCGCCTCGGTCCCTGGAAGGACCGAGGGGTGGCGGCCTGGCGAATGCAGAGGTCGGAGCCAGGGCGGAGCGAGGCAGCCCGCAGCCCAGCTTCGCCTTCGCCTTCGCCTCCGGTGACTCCGCTGTGCTCCCCGCCCCTCGCCCTCTGAGCTTGTGGCCAGACGCCTGGCGCCCCTCTGCTAGCCTCCCGCGCTGGGCCACCTCCTCCTGCTCCGCATTTTCCTCCTCCCCCTCCCCCGCCTCTTCCGTTTCTGAAGGGAAAGGCAGTAGCCTCCTTTAGAGCGCCGCATCCCGGGCTTAGGTAATACGGGTTCCTCCTTACGCCCCCCTAGCCCCGGCGCCACAACTCCCTCCTCCTGGGATCTGGTCCCCGGTCTGGGCGAACAGCACGTCCCGGATCGCCCCTCCCGACGCCAGGTGAGTAAATCTGGGCCGGGAGGGCTCCTCGCCTCTCTGCCCGGCCTGTGATGACCTCGGTCTGCTGCAGCGAGGCTGCCGCCCGGCCCGGCCCACCCCGCACCATTGCTGGAACCAACCGGGCGGAGGAGCTCGAGGGTCGTGCGGCTCCCTTGGCTCTGCGGCAGCGACCAGAAAGAAGTAGAGGGTGGGAAGAAAGATTAGCAAACAACTTAAAAAAAAAAAAATCAATCATTAGCATTTCTAAGTCTTAGAAGCTGATCTGACAGTTGAGGGCAGTGGCCCAGGTTCAACAGGTAGATGGTATAGCTGTCAAGCGCCCCTGGGTTTTGCTTTGAGAGATGCTTCTAACTGTCCATAGCTGCTGGCTGCTGCTATTGACCTACTAGATGAGTGTAAAATAAACATTATGGGACTATATTTAGAAAAATCTTTACCTCCTTGCTTTTAATTCTCTGCATTTTGAAAGGTGGTTTTGTGAGATGTGCATAGTTGGTGTGGCCAGAGTAGTAGGTGAGAGAAAATATTTAACACGGATTTGGCTGACGCAAAAAGCACGAAAGTCCCTAGATTATTTAGTACACCCATAAAGAATACAAATAAACAATCAAGGTGTATATCTTGTGGATTTCCAGTTTAAAGCTAATTTTAAGGCACTGAATAACAAGACAGTTTGCACACTGTTTGAATGGCGTTCACTTCAAAAGAGCAGTGGGTTAAGGCCGTATGAACATTTCACTTACATGCATCCTGAACATGTTGAATAAAACTTTTTTTTTTTTTTGGTACCTTTTCCTGTGATGCCTAACTTTGAAACCAAAGAAATCGATAAGGATCAGTCCTGCTCAGCGTGACAATAGTCTAATGATGAAAACAATCCACTGAACTACCATTGAATGATGAATTAGCTAGGTGACCTCATTTTTTCATTTTTAAATTAGGACTATAAGGGGAAAAGGCAATGGAATAGTTCATTTTTTCATTTTTGCAAGTATTTGCATTCTTATTTAGAACCTACTTTTAAGTTTTTGTCGATTTTTATACTACTCTTGAAGTTAGTTCTTACTCATGAAGAGGATTATGTAAAATACTTAACACTTCTTGCATAGAATAAGCTACCATTTCTTTTCAAGCTTTTGGACTAAAATACCACTTGCTTGGAAATTGCAGCTTGGACTCATGCCATTTAATGTGAACTATCTTATTACAGATTTAAATTAGAGCCATACTTGGGGTAGTTCTGGAAAACAAAGAAACTATGTTTTATTTGACATATAAGGCCTTTGAAAAGTTATAAACTTGTTTATTATATATGTATTTCCCTTTATTTGTCTCTAAGTACAATTAGAAAATGTCCTATTCTATTTCATGTTGTAGATAAATTGCGTAAAAGGTAATTATGTTTATATAAAGTGATTAATAAAAACAAGTGTCTTCTTATTAAAGGTAAGGATGGTATATGTGAGAACATTTTCTGGATGTGTGTCTTTATAAATGTCCTTGTTAAAATATTTTGAATCTTGTAATAAAACTCTCTCCATTGATTTATTTTTTGGTTTAGAGTTTAGAAATAAAAGAGTTGACAGCGTTTTGCCTCCCATCTCTCTCTCATGATTAATGTAGTGTTTCCCAAACTTGTCTAATTTTATAATTTACCGGGTGGTGGATAATAGTTGGTTAAAAAGACTCCCAGGTTGCAACTTGAGATTTCAGAATCAGAATTCTAAGGGAAAAAGGCCCAAACGATAAAATTTTTTAATTTTAAAATACGCCCAAATGATAAAATTTTAAAAGGGTAAAGAAAATAAAAAAGGCAAGACTGCAAAACACTGGTGGGGAAAACTGTTTCTGGAATGAATTACTGACATAACCTATTACCATTCTTATACACAAAATGTTCTTACATGGAAGCTAAGGTTTTACTAATATGATGATGTCATCGGTTTAGGAAATCCGAAACTTTTATATCCTTTTGTTGTCAGGACTGCTGGTGATTGAATTTAGCAAACATTTTTGCATGTTTAGTCTCTTTTGTGGTATCCCATGTTAATTCAAGTTCTTTAATATTATGAGAGCATTTTATTAATGGATTTTTAATGTAGATTACTGTGACTAGTAATCCATACCACAATATTGTGCCTGATCATTTTTGTTTCATACAGCACATTTATTTGTTACCTCTTCTTTGTTCTTAATTAGGGAAGACAAACATGCATATAGCTTATTTATAGCTTCTATTAAAATGATCTGACTCCATCCAAAAAAGAAAAAAAACTTTTTGGGCATAAAACATGGTTATTTTTTATAAAAACAAATTAACAAAATGGAGTACTAAACATCTATAAAGGAATTCATTAAGATAAATTACCACAATGAAGTGTCCGTTTCCTTCTCTTTCCATTCCTTCTCCTTTTTTTTTTGAGGGGATGGAGAAGGGTTGTTTGCTTGCTTGTTTTGACTCTTAATCAAGTTAATATTTAAAATTTAAACTACCCAAGTTTAAGTTAATGTAAATATTTGCTAACTTTATCCACAGATACTAAACTTGTCTTTCTGTACAGATTGATGGTGGTAGGTTTCTCTCAATGCTAATAAGAGTTACAATTGATATATAGGAGTTAAATTCAAATGACCAAAGGAAACTGTTCTTTTACTATTGCTTAAGGAAAACCTAATTTAATTAAAGTGATGCCATAATTTTTCATTATCAATAGTTTTTAAGTAGGATCTGATCTTCCAACTCCTGGAAAACCCCTCTAGTTAATTCCTGGGAATGTGCAAGAATCAAATATACTCCCAGGTTGATCTGGGAATAATGAAAGGTGTGTTTTACAAATATGGCTGATTATAAGCTTCATGAATAGCAAAGAATGAGGGAAACAAATAAGAATCAGATCAAGAAGATAAAAATTAACCAGCGTAGACATTTATCTATGGTTGCAGAATCAGCAAGAATACAAGAGCGTTTAGTACATTTATATGCTGCTGTGGCTTTAATGAGCCATTTATATCATTTTAGTACTTTGACCTTTTCAAGCAGAAGGTATTACAAATATTATTTTATCAGTTTGTGTTCCTTTAAAGTTAAATGTTACATTCAATATTCTGTATTGTTCTACTCAACACTTGTAAATATCTGTTAAAAATAATGATTTGCCTCTACGAAGTAGGAGTAAGAAATATGCTGCCAAACCCAGTCTGCCCACGTGATACATAATGTGATCTATAATCTGCTTTCTCACTATATTTGGGGAATATATTTTAGATCATGTAATTTATCACTGCAGAAATAAATAGTAATAACCACTTTTATAAAGCTCTGTAAAGAACTCCTTTGAATCATATTTTCTAACAGTTATAATCCTAAAATTTACATAATAAATAAATCCCTTACAGATTAATTTTGGTACAAGAAAATCCTTTTAAACATGTTTATCTCTAATGGAATGAAAATCAATCAATTTACATAACTCCCACTGTGTGTCATAAGGAGATTGAAAAATATGTATCTTTCTCTCAAGGAACTTAGAGCCTATTAGAGAAAACCATGGTACCCCAAGGAGTGGCTTGGGTGGGGGGCTTTAGGCAATCCTCATAATGTCCACGAATCCCTCTACCTATACCCTAACACTGCATATAAACATACAATCTAAGTAATAAAACCCAGTGTGATTGCTGTGCAAATCAACTTTAAGATAAATCTCCTAGTACCTTCTTTCAACCTAATTTTCATGCCCCTACCCTAATCTCTTTTTTTTTTTCATTTAATCAACAAATATTTATTATGCCCAAATTAGGAGGATAAATATCAACAGCCCTTAAAATGTACAATTTTTGAACGTATACTTTTGTTTTTTACTCTTGAAAAATTATAGTAAAATTTATATAACATAAAATTTACCATTTAAACCATTTTCATGTGTACAATTCACTGGCATTAAGTACATTTCCATTGTTATGCAAGCATCACGATTATCCATCTCCGGAACTTTTTCTTCATCCCAAATTGAAACTCTGTACACATTAAGCCCTAACTCCCTAGTACCCCCTCCGCTTAGTCCCAGTAACCACCATTCTTCTTTCTGTCTCTATGAATTTGACTATTTTGGGTACCTCACATAAGTGGAATCATACAATATTTGTTCGAGTCTGACTTAAGTTCGAGTCTTAGCAGAAAGTTTTCGAGATTTATCCATGTTGTAGTATGTGTCAGACTTATATTCTTTTTTTTAAGGCTGAATGATATACTCTAACCTCTTTTATATGGAAAGTAGATACCAAAAACAGGAAAGTTTTGAACCGGAACAGACCATAGAAAAACCATTCGACCTCTATGCCTCCTCTTTATTTTCCTTTTCTATGTTTATAAAAATGAAGAAAACAAGTCTCTGATAGTTTAAGCCACGTGACCAAGGTTTCACACCTGGTTGGCTAAAGGCAAAGCAGAGCCTAAGGACCAGCTCTCCTATGGCCCAAACAGGGGCTCTTTCTACCACACATCCACGTGGCCCGTATAGACAAGGAAAGGCAAGTGTTACATGAGTTGCTGTCAAAAGTAAGTGTTGCAAGACCAGAAGGAAAGATAATTTGATCTGGGAATCTTCCTGAATGACTGAAAAATGTTCCATTAAAAAAAAATTCAAAATGGACTTGAGGATTAATAAGACTACATCTTGATTAACAGTGATCAAAACTATAAATAATATTCTACTGAAAAAGATCCTTGCTGCAAGCTATACATTTGTGTCTTTTCTTTCTACCTGGAATTGTGCATTAAATTTGTATTTTAAAAAATATGTATTATTTCCTACAATTAAGATAGTTACAGTGAATCTGCATTTTTAAAAAAATTCTATGTGGTTTCATTTGTGACACCACAGTTTTTCTAAAAACATCTAGCATACAAATGTTTAAACATATAGTTGGAACCTAGCAGATAGACAACTTATCTAAATGAATACAGTTCATATTTAGTGAAAATGTTACTAACTATGGAGAAG